TTTTACACATCTAGATGTGTATAAGAGACAGAGGGGGAAGAGGAGGAGGGGGGGACCCATCGTGGGGTCTTCGTAGGAGGGTGAGTGCGGTAATGAGGTAGTACTGAGGTCAGGATGGCGGGGCCGACTAGACTAGGATGAAATTGATCGGTTTGAAGGGGATGGTGAAGTGGTCACGTGGTACTCGTCGCCATTGGTTTAAATTTCTGTATTCAGCCATGGTTTCCACCTAAGCTGGTTGTGTTGGTTCAGTTCGCAGAGCCTCTCTGCATTGTCCACCCACACTGAACGGAAGTTTGCTGCAAGGTCCTTGCGTTTGGTCTCTTCTGGTTCTTGTGCTAGCATTTGTTTGAGTTCCTTCCATGCTGCATGTATGTTCGTTGACAACCGAAGCTTTCGCCTCCATATATCCATATGTGTATTGTTTATATTGATGGGCGCACCTCATCCTCCATGCCGCCCACTAACATCAGCAAGGGAGTGATTTTAAATAGATTAGTCGTGAAGGGAGTGGCAGCTTGTGGGGCCATTTCTCCCAGGACGATGTCATGCTGTGTCCCGGCATCCCCACAGCTGAGCCACCATCGGGCAGTCCAAAGAGGCAGTGTTCCAGTGCTTGTTTTTTTTTTTTTTTTTTTTTTTTTTTTTTCCAAGAACAACCCGAGTGGATGGCAAGCGGATGGACTTTAATGCTTTTATTTTTTGAAACACTCGAATTCTTTGCTCTTTTTTCAATGCGCGTTATACCCTCCACCCCTACCCCCCCTCCACCCCACTGGCAGGACTCAGATGGCTAACTGAGCCCGAGCTGCATGGTCGAGCCTTGGCCAGGCGCTCGACCAGGCTCGAAAAACGAATTCGAACACAAAAGCTGGAGCCGATGTGGCAGAACGGTTACCTCACAAGATATTGGCCCAGAGTGACTGGGCAAACCAGAGACCAGCGTGAGATTCCAAAAAGAGACACTGGGAGTCTGACAAAGGATACAAGTTAGACGAAAAAAAAAAAAAAAGATCAGTTACTCATTCGGGCCAGGCAGGGGCCCGGCTGGAGGTTAGGCCCAATCAGTACAACAGCCACAGCTTTGCATCTCGACAGATGACAGAACTCATGACTAAAGAGCAAAGAGGATTGGATGCAAAAAAAAAAAAGTTTGGGGTCTGAAGAGAACACGACTTGCGCGAATGCACGGAGCGCTCCCGCCTGACAAGGCTCGGCGGGCAGTCGCTCCACGTCCTCGGATTGGCCGAGAGCGTCTGAGTAGCAGTGGAGAGTCAGGGCGGCGTGTGGCGGTGGCCATGGCAGCGAAGCTCTTGTGAGCATCGTGTTCACTGATACAGGAGTGTCTTTGCGCGATAATCAGCACAGCGACAGTGAGGCCAGAATAGCCGGTATAAGATGGCTTCACAAGGAGACCTTCGACATGCTGCTGACGCGTGGCTATGTACTATGGACGATAGCAGACAGCAACTCCAGTATATGGTCTCTCTTCTTTCTATCTCCACTCTACCTTCACCAGAGGTTATTGGGGGAGCGACCTCGGTGGGGAAATGGGTGGAAACAGTGTTACAGCAGATGCTGGAGATTATCTGGGAGTTGGAGGCGGGGCCGGCACCAGAGCTGGACGCGTTGATTGACTGGCGCCAGGTGGATGATCTGCTCAACGACTGCTATACGCTCCTTGATGAGGGAGGCGAGCGAGGTGCTGACATAGCTAAGCGTGTAGGGGAGAAGCTGCCAATAACCATGTTGGCAACAGTAGCACCGGAGGAATTGACTTCAATGATGTCATTGACACCTGCAACCACATCGAATTCATCAGCTACATCAATGATCATTCCTCCAGCGCCTGTCAGCAACAACAACGACGACAACACGGACAGCAATGACAACAACAAAAACAACAACAACAATGACGACAACAACGACAGAAACGACAACAACAACAACAACAACAACAACAACAACAACTACAACAACAACAACAACAACAACAGTGCCATAAACAACAACAATATCGTGCACGATAGTGGTTCAAACGCAGGGGTGATGGCTTCGTGTGCGCCGGACAACAACAACAATGACAATAATAACATCGGCACCACCACCACCACCACCACCAACAACAACAACAACAACAACAACAAAGGATGGAAGTTCTCAGGGGCTAGCAGGGGGAGGGAGGAATTAGCAAGTAGCAGCAAGATCTGGCGCCGAGTTCAGGGTGAGGAGATTCCTCCCTCACTCCTCTTTCCTGCTCAGTCAATCCCCTGGACTCTAGGGTAATCAATGCTGGCAGGAACCTCCCACAGTTGCTCTGATTGTTCTCTGATATGGCTCGAACTCATTTTGTAAAAGGGACGCTGGACCCGTTTTCCAGCAGGTGATGCTCCCCACCAATAGACGGAGCCTCCCCCCAGGTGCTAGTGGTGTCTGCTCTTATCAGCACCGCAAACACTGGCACGGGTGTTTATTCCAAAAAAAAAAAAAAAAAAAAAGGAGTGGTAAGCGTGGCAGGGGCACTCTTTCCCCTCCCCTCCCCCTTCTTTCCTCTCCTTTCCTTTCTCCTTGGGTTTCGTGTTGACCATCGGGGGGGAGAGCGAGAGGGTTGCTGGAATGGTTTGTTCAGTGTATTGGAAGGGGGTGGGGGGGAGAAAGGGGTGGGGGGGAGAAAGGGGTGGGGTGGTGACGCATGGGGATAGGATAGAGATTGGTATTGCCTTACAACATTTGCTTCCACGTGGCAACAGGGTGGGCGGTACTAGGATTTGTTCACGCGCCTGTTTTGTTTTTTTCCACGTGGCTATTCAGATTCTGCTATATTGGTGTTCTCCCTGCTTGAGTTGTTTCTGTTTAATTGCGTTAGCTGGGGGCACATAGTCTTTTTTTACAAACGAAAGTATATGCCACGTGGCAGGGCAGGTGGTGCTGTGGTGGCACTAGGGCTGACTATATGACTGACTTGTGCTCTGCCATATGGGTAGTGCGACTTCAGTTTTTGTATATAAACACTGTCACCCCCGCGTGTGTGCTTTTGCTAACTAGGATTCCGGGGGACACATAGGCGCAGGCAACCCTAGATCAAGATTGCAATAGCTCAGCCAGATTCTGTCTAGATCTAATGGCCTGCGCCTTTACAACCACGTTGTGCTAACTGCTGCTGTTTCAGGGGCAGCTTGTCGTAATTACAAAGGAATTACTAAACACTTTCGCCCTGTTATCAATCTCTTTGCCTATTTGATATCTCCCCTACTCCTCACCGTGTAGAAGATTGTAGTAGGGATACTTGAGGAGTTTCGTAGGATAGAGATGGATTCTGCATACAAACAGGGTTAATCCTTCCTGATTGGGGAAGCAGTCAATGCCCCGTGACTATGCTTACATTCGTGTTATGCAGGGAACCTGTCTCCAGGGGAGCAGTGGCTGAGGCTCTTCCAGCCCTAATGGCAAGAGGCGTGTGTATGTGTTGTAACCATTGCTATAATTGAAGCCTTGGGCACTGGGCCCTGTTAAAAAAAAAAAAAAAAAAGAAATCATGACTAAAGAAGAGCAGTATCGTATAGTATAAGAGTCTCCAAGACAGAGGTAAGAGAAGACCAAGTTCACTACACAGGTAGAAAACGAGGCAGAGTGTGAAGTACAAAGAAACCTCGAGAATTACAGCAAATAAGCTTTCCACAAACCCAGTGTCCGCCAATCTTTCCATGTACCCAACGACCACCACTGCAAATGCGGGAGTGGGCGTTCTGTAAGAGGTCGAGGGTATCGCACTCACACTATATATAGTCTGACTAATCGTATGCTACGGTGTTTCACCAAAAAAAGACCAGCCCGCTACTTGGCCCTAGCTCACGGGACAGGCCCGGGTACTATTCCGCAACAAGAAAACAATAGAACCCCAAGTTGACCTCAGTTGAACTAAATTTACGGGGCCTGCAAGGCCCCCGTTCTACTGGGTCAGATATCCTCCGGCGGAAAGTCACTATCCGGGTGTGAACCCCCGAGGAAACATACCACCAGGTACTACTAAATCAGAAAAAGAAACAACCAAAAAAGAAAACCAAAGACCGGGCCATATGCCACGTCAAAAGGACCAGTACTACTAACTATTCACCAACCCTGTCCGCCTGTAGCCCTACCTATCAGAAAAACACACCAGTCATGCAGTCATCCATCCCTCAGAAATGATAATGCCGCTACACCGATCCGAATATCCGTAGCACGAGTAAACAATCTCACCAGCCAGTTAATAGATCAAGAGTCTGTTTCCATACCACCCCTTTCCGGAAGGCAAACCTGCGTAGCACCCTCTCGAAGAAAGTCATAGGAACGTCCTTCCTTCTCAATTCGCGTCTGAGCGACAGGACTCGCCCCGGAATGTCATTGCGAATCGAAGTGTTCTGATCAATTTGATGGAGATAGCTGCTAATAGCAGCGCTCTTTTGTTGTTTACTTCCCCAAGAGTGGAAGGATTGCCCTGTCTGAAATTCGAGGTCATTACTTGTCCATAAACTCGTCTCATTTCGGGACATTTGGACGCACCCGAGACACGGGTAAGTGCGAGAGCACCTAACCTCACACCCCAGAAAGTCTATGATGTCGGTACCTGCGTCAGTCCGCTTCAATGATAGGTTACGGGGATAGCACTCAGAAAATCTCTGCAATGTCCATCCCAAGGTCTTACCAGAGAGGGAAGCAACAACAAGCAAAACGTCATCCATCAGTCGAATACCAAACACATTATGTGCATAGCGTCCGAGACTCCTCAAAAAGGTCACTTTTGCATATGCACATAAAATGCACGCCAGAGGGGGGCTAGTGCTCTTTCCCATCGGGATCCCCACGTCCTGCCTAAGCAGAACGGTCGTAGCGTGGGTGTAAGTGTGCTGTAGGGCAATCTCCACAAATTTACATAAGTCAACGAACTCGACCTTCCTCCAGTGATCAGCTCTGGTAGTTAGCCCAAAGGAAGCCCCTCTTCCTCTCGTATTCACTCTCATGAATGTATGCCCCTTCTCTGAGTGGAAATTCAACAACCATCGTACTGCCTTCATGATATCAACATGAGGCAGACGACTAAACATGTCCTTAATATCAAAGGTCTGTGCCGTCAAGTTAGTCAAGCTACCCAGTCGTCGGATCTTAGTATTCACACGATTCAGTTTGGCCGTCAGCTGCGAGACTGCAGGAAGATTAAAATGATCATTAGTTGGCAGTTTAGATAGCAGAAAATTCAGACCCCTCGCAACTACCCGACTAGTGCGAACCATAGGTTCATTATAAGTCGGCCAGATGGGACGGTACCTCGTCAGATCTTTATGTTTAGGAATTACATATGCTGAATCGAGGGTCCCCTTGTTATCCCAACGGACAAACTGCTGCAGACCTGCAGCTTTCATATCCTCCTTGATCTCGAGAAGCACAACCTTCTCATCCGAGGTAATGATCGTATACCCCGTGCTTCTAATGAACATGTCCATCATGGCCTCATAATTGATCTTGGGGCACATAACGACAGTCTCCCCTGGGTTACGATCCAGAGGAGTAAACACCAGACCGTCAAACTGCTGCTTCAGACTCATAACATCATCCATCAACAACTGTGTGCTACTTGGCACATTGGAATCAATAAAACAAGATGCCAATCTCTCAATCGAAATGTGTGGCAATCTACCCGGAGAATTCCTCCAACTGCGGAAGCCTCGCTATACCTCAGTGCGTAAGTAAAGCAAACGATCACTTCTCTGAGCTTGTGGAATATTATTGGCGTTGGCCAACAACGGATGATCCACCATGTCCTTCTTCAGGCGAAACTGCACGTGCCCATCCACACGGAGATAGGGTAATCCTGCACACCGACAGGTAAGCACATTACGGGTAGAAAACTCCTGATGATTGTGCAAAAGCTCGCCAACCGTCTGGTTCTTCTGCCAGACGATTCGAGTCTTCTTTCATGCTCGACGCATGAAACAGGTAGGTAGGTCACAACACAACAAAACATCATTAACTGCCTTACGTAGTTCACACACACTGATTCTGTCATCAAACTTAACCTTGATCAACAAATCCGCATTCAAACTGAGATCAAATTTACCAAGGAATACCCGAGCGATCAGTCTCCTGAGATACTTCCTGGTGGATTTCCTCGAGAAATCTTTAACAGTATTGTACAAACATAATAGTGAATGCATGTCCCATCGGTAGATCCTATCCAGGAGGTTCGGGTTCTTCAGAAGTGAGATAAGGAAACGTTTCAAGTAACCACAACGTGGTTTCCACGAGACAATATACCCGATCTCCAAATAGCCACCACTCTCAAACCATGCTTTACAATCCTTAAGCAACCGAGATTCGGAGCCACGTTAATTTTTTGTAGCCCCGAATTTCCTAGAAATATTCTTCCAAGGTGACTGTCAAATATTTCCTCCACTCGTGAAGATCCTGAGACTTTGTTCTCCAGTTGTCTCATGGCTATTAAGTATCTCATACAAATCGAGTCTCCAGTCCACCGCTGGGTGTACACGGAACCGAACAAGTGCTATGACACACTGGTTGTCATACACCAGATCACTCGTGCGAGCCCGTTCATTCCTACCGCATGACCGTCCTTTCCGAGAACAATTATTAACTACTTTCCCAGCTATATTGAGAAAGGGCGACCACTGGCGGATATATATGTTCTCGAGCTTAATCAATTCATCGTTGACTATAGTGTCTACGGGTACTAGCACATAGTTCTCAACCCCAAAACAACTCGGCCAACGATAAAAATGATTCGGTGATCTTTTTCGACACGCATACAAATGTTCCCGCCAACGAATATCTAGATGTCGCGAGGACTTTCCCACGTACTGTGATTTACAAAAAGGAGAAACAGCCACGTATACACTGGACTTCATATTGACGAAATCCGACCCGAAAATATCGAACAAACGTATCCATGCATTCACACACTTCCGAGTCCATCTAAGCACACCAAAAAGAGACAAGTTAACGATCGCTAGCCGAAAGAGTTCCTCTATCCTGGGATCCACTCCATCAATCAAGGCGCGCAAACAAGGAAGGCAGTGCACAATACTCCACAAGTCAGCAATACTGAAGCCACCTCAATCCTCATCATTGTCTCCATCGGTCTTCGTGACATCCTCAGTACCGATTGCGGGAGCAACCTCCGCACCCTCCTCAACGTCGGTATCATAGGCTATCTGTGTTCGATGAGCCGCTATGTCGAGAATCGATTCAAACTTACCGTTATACGGTATGCCCTCATCCTTGCAGATGTTCTGCAATACTAGCGCATCCAAGTTCTTCTGATCATTCATCACACGTTTCTCGAAAAGCAGTCGACCGACAATACCAATGGTTGTCGGGGTCTTCTTGCGGATTGATGGTGGAGTCTTCTTCGGTGTGGGGGTCTTCATTGCTCAGCTCCTAGATCTCGTCAGTCTGTCTGTCACTCTCGATTGCCTTGGCGTCCGTTTGGGGGTGCGCTTCGGTGGCAGCTCCATCGGGGGGCTCCCCTCGACCGCCGTCTCCGGGCCTCTCTTTCTCTTCTCCGTGATGCAAAGGTTCCGTGTGTGCATGCTCAGCTCATCTGTTTCGCTGCTACTCGCACTACTCTCTGCGCCCGACTTCACCACTTCCACCACCTTCTCCTTGCCGTGTGACACTACGCGACATAGTTCACCAATAGCCTCACGGATTTCCGAGCGTATATCCTCCCGTACGTTCTCACGTAGCTCACCCACACGAACCGCCATCTTTATATCCAGACTCTTGTGAATTTCTTCCTTCCTCTCCACTTCTTTGCGTGCCTTGTCCTCCTTCTTCTTCTTGATCAACTCTGCTTCTGCTCTTTCGGCTGCTGCTCGCTCCTCAGATTCCTTGCGCTCAGCCTTACGGCGCTCCTTAGATGCCTTCTTTTGTTGCTCCACTTCCACATATTGGCATACCGCGGTCACACTCTTGCCAATCTCGGAAACCTTGGATTCCAACGGATCAATCGGCAAGATCCGTCTCGTCCGATCCAATCTTCCTGGTGAAACCGAACCACCCCGGTTGGCTCTTCGTGGATGGGGGCACTGATTAGCATAGTGCCCCGGCTCGTCACAATTGAAGCAGGTAGGGGGTCCTCGCCGGGGACCCCGGTCGTAACTCCTTACCCCGCCGAACCTTCGGTCACCGCCTTGACCCCTATCGCTGCCATCTCCCCTGTCCCTGTCATAACCACGGTGCCCACCTCATATTCTCGATAACCGTCGTAGTCTCTCCCGCCTCCGCCTGGGTTGCGGCTGCCACTCCCGTAGTCTCGATTATCACCATGCCCGGCCATCGGAATGACCTAGGTACGTCAGTCACGTCTGACGTCGTCCGTTCAAATGTAGCAAAGCTCCGACTCCAATCTTCGAAGTCAACTGCACCACTGTTAACGGTAGTGTTGCTGAAAGGCGAGAAAACGTGCTCACTTATCCCGGCTACGTGCCTCCAGGATCGTTCACACGCGTTGTGGATAGTATCGTATAAGAGTCTCCAACACAGAGGTAAGAGAAGACCAAGTTTACTACACAGGTAGAAAGCAAGGCAGAGTGTGAAGTACAAAAAAAACTCGAGAATTACGGCAAATAAGCTTTCCACAAACCCAGTGTCCGCCAATCTTTCCACGTACCCAACGACCACCACCGCAAATGCGGGAGTGGGCGTTCCGTAGGAGGTCGAGGGTATCACACTCACACTATATATAGTCCGACTAATCGTATGCTACGGTGTTTCACCAAAAAAAGACCAGCCCGCTACTTGGCCCTAGCTCACGGGACAGGCCCGGGTACTATTCCGCAACAAGAAAACAATAGARCCCCAAGTTGACCTCAGTTGAACTAAATTTACAGGGCCTGCGAGGCCCCCGTTCTATTGGGTCAGATATCCTCCGGCGGAAAGTCACTATCCGGGAGTGATCCCCCGAGGAAACATACCACCAGGTACTACTAAATCAGAAAAAGAAAGCAACAAAAAAGAAAACCAAAGACCGGGCCATATGCCACGTCAAAAGGACCAGTACTACTGACTATTCACCAACCCTGTCCGACTGTCTTATACACTTGTTTTAAACGACAGTAAAGCAGCGACTTCCAATTTGTACCCTTTACGATTGTCTTATACACTAGTTTTAAGAGGATTTAGGGTTTAAATGGGTTTAAAGGGACAAGGGAGCCCCAGGATGAGACAGTAATGACCGCAGCCCCACGAAACAACAAGGATTGTAGAGGCTTACAGATAAACAACTACAGACCACAGTTGCATAAGGTGGCATCTGCGGCTTGGCTGTAGTTGCCAAGCAAGGGTATTCCCTTTTAGTTTGGGCCATTTTAGCTTTTCCAGTAGTTTCGGCAAATTTTGATGCCCATTTGAGGGTTTAGTGTAGTTTTCTGTTTGGTTTGGGGGTTTGAGGGGTTTTTTTCTCGGTTCCATTTCACACCTCCGCCCTTTTGCCGTTGTTGTTGTACGATTGCGGCGGCGTATGCTTACGGCTGGCATGTGTATCTGGACTCGATCTCGAGTGCCGGCACCGCAGTATTTTGTCGGCAGTTCTGTTCGGCTTATGGTACCGCCTGTGTAGACGGTTTTCGGGACTCACTTGCCAGTGGGTACTCTTTCGCTCCTGTGTACCCCACGCCAGGTATATACTGGGCATTCGAGCGTAGTTTCTCCTCTCTATGATTGGCTTCGCAGGCCGTGACGCTCCCTCCGGCGATGGGCACTCGTTGGCGATGCGCTCTCTGAAGAGCC